TTGTATATTTGTTTTGATTTAAAAAATGAATGATTCATTCATTGTAATTCGTAATTGTATCGTAATAAGCAGACAATACACATTTTGCGCCCTAAAGGTCCTCTCCCAATTTTACAAAGGTTATCAGGAAGAACAATAAAGTTTTCGATAAAGTGAGAATAAGACATGAATTTGTAAATAAATAACATATTTTCACAGTAGAATAGGATGAGAGATTTTAAGGGATTTGTTTGTGCAATCAAACTTTCAATCGTTTTGTTATGGTTACATCATTATAAGTATTCCTTTTATTAATCATTCGAGATTTATATTTGAATAAGAATTTTGTCTGTTTGGTTAAGAATCGTTGTGGTAAGGTATTCCACTACTCTGATCCTTCCCCTTCGGTCGCAGTGGTTGTCAAGAGTACTCCTAAATTATATCAAATACAGGGGAGCGTTAACTCGCTTTTTGCTTCGCTCGGGGATGCTGTTTGCGCGCGAAACCGAGGGTAGGGCAACGGGAGCCTCGCCTCGTCCTTCCTGTATTTCGAGTATTCGCAGGTTGTTCGAAAAATGGTAGTTTTTACGGGCGCTTACTTCGAGGGACAGGTCTCCACGGTACTTCGATACGAGTTTCGTCGTTCTTCTGTCGGCGACGCGTGGGGAAATTCGTAAGACTGCTTATTTTGTTTTTCTTTCCTTTTCGTAAGAGACACGTTCGAGGACATGTTTAACCGAGGGGTGTACTTACGATGTAGCGAACAATGTACAATACCGGACAAACGTATTCGGACAAATGCTTACGTAGGCATTTCGATTAAATAAAAGATTTAAAGAATGCGAATTCTTTGGTTTCTTTCAACAGTACAAACATGCTTATTTAGAAACTTTAGGCCTCTGCAGAAGACCCTTCTCAGGATACAAACAGTATGTTCATCATCTGCGAAGATTTCACTCTATGCAATACTTATAAATAAATACTGTTAAGGATTGAGATATCAAATTATAAAGTTAAATGTTTTTTGCTCCATTTATTAAATATTTTTTGCTTCGTACCTGTACAGTATATATAGTGCTGAAATATTGGAGAAAGGTTACTATCAATTTTATGATCTAAGTGGAATCAATATTTTGAGTTCCATTTAAGTAAAGACGTCATATTGTAGGTTTTCTATTTATGTTATTTTAACAAATATTCTTGAAAATACATATCTTTCAGGTTATTTTTTCATGAATCAAGAACTGAAGGGTACTAAAAGGGTTTACCCTCTATTACATGAATTTTATATATTATAAAAGTGTATAGACTTTTAAAGACATATTGAAATACACATAACCATGAAGATTTTCTGTTTATTTGCTCTTATAATCAACAATTATATCCTCCTCTTTATCAATCGTCGATATAAAATTATCATCTTTACAAACTAACGGAAATATGTACAAGATGTTTAAGTTACGATAATCTAAAAGGGCAGTATATGTATTTCGAATTGTTATTTGGTTGAAAAATAATAAATTGTCATTTGAACTAAAAACTCTCCTTTTTGCCTCTCGACAGATGACAATCTCGGAATAAAATGTTATAAACATTTGCAGAAATCCATTCTTACTTTAGGATCAACTTTACTGTACATCTAGCTATTTTCTTTCAAATTTTGCTGCCGCGCCATACTTTTCAAAGTAAAATAAAATTCATGTAATAGAGGGTAAACCCTTTTAATAGCTTTCAGTTTTTGAATCATTAAAAACAACCTGAAAGATACATATTTTTAAAGATATTTGTTAAAATAACATAAATAGAAAACTTATATATGTCGTCTCTACGTAAATGGAACTCAAAATATTTATTACACTTAATTGAAAGTAACCTTCTTCCAATATTTGAGCATTTCATTTGATCAGTACAGACAACGCCACTCAAATATTTATATACTTTAATATAATGCAATAACTGAGAAAGTCGCTATCGTTAATATCGCATATTTATACACATCTTAGACGAAACATGTTTGAACATGCATATTCTTGTTCAGCGTTTAATAAAACTAATATCTCACATATATAATATAATTGTATTAACAATTACCAAAGGTTGTCAGATCACGGATAGTTGAGAAAATCGATCGACGCCCTTGTTTCAAATCCTTTTGTACAATTTGACCGTCGATTTAACTAAATTCTCTTCTGAAACCGTAAATTACACGGCGCGGCGGAGGCTATGAAAGGTGTGACCGGTGGAACCCTACAATACAGTCGAATGTGCGACGTTAAATTCGCAACTTTTAACTAGTCCTCGTATACGCACGTATTCTACCGGTTGTGATTTTGGCCAGGCCGGAATAAATTTGTATAATTATTACGACCGTGCGTGAGTAACGGGTAGCTTCCCCCACCCGAGTCGACGTTGAAGGTAGCCCCATCGGAAGGAAGCTGGTTTATTTTTTTGTTGTGCCACCTCGAGGAGCGAGGGGCGCCCTATAGCCTCACCTTTGAAACACCTGGCTATTACCGCTGGATGTTTTATATATATATACGTGTGTACGTGTACCACCATATGCGACTGGCCCCACCGAGACTAGCTACGCGGACCCATTTTCGGGGTCTCGTGGATCCCTAGACATGTGCTAGGTATTCCGGCTAGGGGAGCCAGGGACCCTATTTTCTCATCTCTCGTGCCATCGAACTGGTCGCCCTGGCAGAAGGTTGAATTTTCCACAGACAAATGGCGGAACACGTGACTTTGTCTGCTCGATCCTCGAGAACGATGGTACTTGACTTCGAAGACACATTGACGATGATGCCGGTGCGTGGACTACTTGCGCCATCGAGTGATCGAATATCGAATCGCGATGATTCTTCGCTTCTCCACCGGCCGTGTATGCACTTCGCTTACAGGCAATTTAGAATGTTATTAAAGAGTATTCTATATGACATAGAGAATAAATAATTGAAATTCCAATTTTGTTCTTGTATTCAACATGCAAAATAAAGCGTAAAATATGTGCAATGTTGAGTTACTTAGAAGTGAGTTAGCAATAAATAAATAAGATATAGTGATAACCATTGAAATATGAATTGTAAAGAAAGAATAAATATGTAAATATTTATTTTAAATTAAATTTACATAATTAACACGTCAATGTACATGGTGCATCGTGAACCGTTCCATTGGTATGCGATCAAAAAAGAAGAAAGAAAACCATAGTTTGTGAAGAAAAAAATGACTTGCAAGAATTTATTGTAATAGAAGTCAAAGTCAATCAAACTCATTTGTTGAATAAAACGTAAGCGAATGTGATTAAATAAATCGTCATACTTAAAATCTCTCAAGTCAAGGAATGAATAATGAAGAATGAAGATTAATAAAATTTAGTAACATGTTTATAAAATAGCCACGGTAGAATCAAATAAAGGAAACAACGAAAGTTTGAGCAAACATCTCATAGTATTTTTTCTTGATATATTGTGACTTTATTTTTTAAGTCTCTGCCAACAAAATATGATCAAATTACAACAAATTCTTACGATGAACTTAAGTATATATTGAAGAGTCTAAAGTTTAAAAAGTAACCTCAAATTTCTTTTTCGTAAGTCAAAATTTAAAATATTGCTAATGGAACAATTGAGTAACAATAATTAAAGAAATATTACGAAACGAATATACAAATACGAAAAAATGTTTTTACAAAAGTTATTTGATGCACGTGGACAAATTGTACAGTCTGAATAATTTTGTTGTAAGTGAAGTGGTGGGAGAGATTTAACGAACGAATTAATTCTTTTCAATAGAACTTTATATATTTGTATACATAATGTGATAGCATTTGTTTAAACAACTTCATCGACCTATAATACAAGGTTCTTTATGGTATACAGGGTGGTCCACGAAATTGTTTCAAGTCATAACTCCGTTATTATTGCATTTACGTAAAAATGCCAAAGGAGAAAGATAAATAGTTCAAAGAGCACTATATCTGTAGCCCTTGAAATTTTTTTTAGATGCAGCAGTGCATGTGCAATTAAGAATTGCATCATTTCTTTAATCAGAAATGCATATTTTTATTTACACAGATCGATTCTTCTGTTCTTTCTACGTAAAAAATGATTAGTGTACCGTGCCAAAAAAATTATTAGTTCTCAAGATATTTTCAAAAAATGACTTTATTGAAGAAGATAGTCCTTAATTAGAATTTGAAGTCAGTAGATTAAACGCATCCCGTCAATCGGTCGAACAATGATACAGCATCGTCTTTCCTTGATTCCTTCTTCTGTCTTCTGTACTATATGCCATTAAAGTTACAGACAAAAACGAAAGCAGGACAAAGAAAATGGACATAAAAAGGAGGAAAGAAAAGATAAAGCGATGAAACAAATATCAGAGACATAATATTATTTCTTCCGAGGAATACTATTTTTCTTTGAAAAAATAATGCATCTATGAAATTAGAATTTTACGCGTCCAACACTGTACATGTGATTTGTTTCTAAAAAAGGTATTATGCGAAACATATTAGGAGAACGGGCAGTCTCGGCTACTTTATTCTTGTTGATATTTCGCATATAATAAAGCACACAAGGATAAAAACAACTATTCTAATGTAGTATCCTCTTTAGGAAACAATTTCGTTCAAACAATAAATTTCGACATACTATTTTTACTTTTGGGGTAGTAACAAACAGAAATGTGATTTACAGGTTTTGTTTTTGGTTGTATTTTCTTATATTGGTCATGAAATGTTACAGCTTTAAAATCATTAAAAATAGTATTTAAACTTTTTCTTTCAATGCTATAAACTAAATGAACGATACTATGGCCATTATAGTTATATCGCAGACTGTAAATTATTTTGGATTCTTTATTCATTACCATTGATCTTTGTAGCGATACCTACTACGAAAAAGTAATTTTTAGAAAAACAACGTTATAGTTATAAATTCAAATGCGAGTTACCTTTGAAGTCTCATAACTTTGCTAAATTTAGCCAATTTCAATTCAATAAACTCGAAATGCATTTTGAATATATATGTTCAAATTAATGCAAATGAAAAAAAAACACAGTTTTTAAACGTCAGGAGTGAAATACTCTTTATTGTTAAAATCAGTTCACCAAGCGAATTGAAGCAGGCTCAAACACGTGAACCTAAACACGAGTTGGAACGCTCACGTGATTCACAGAGCCCTCTTTATCTTAATCTAAACTGACTATCGGTAGTTTTACAAGCGCATCAATATTGACTTTACCCGCCGCCAGTGCATGTTTGATGACCGTGTCACTGGCAGATCTTCGTTATGACTCATTGTCAGAGAGACGATGAATTGCACGAAACGACCTTTGTCGCCTTCTTTATTCGCGACAACGCTCAACTATTTACCGTTTTCCGTCGCCAGGACGTTCTTCCGTCAACTGTTGAGGCTGTAGAGGGTTGTTGAGGGTTACTGTGACTTTCGCGTGATACCTTGTTTCGCACACCCTTAAAGAGATTGCAATTGAATGTAGAAGAACATTTCGGAGGACGTTGTCATGCAAGGTTCTGTGACACCAGTCGTTTACCTCGAAAATGAAGGGTTCCGTTTTTGGCCAACGGCTTAAGCAGCGGGAAATTGGCAAGGTAACAATGGCCAACACCTGCGTTTCTAGCCCTGCCTCAAAGCGCTCCGAGCTCTTCCTACCTAATTGGGAACAATCGTGCAGGTACTACCGATATGAATGGGGCGTTTAGTCATTCGTCGATTCGCAGACAGAACGGATGACATCAGCGTTAATCTTTCGCAAAAACAGGGCTCTCTTTATGGGCCAATAACATGCATTTCACAATTGAAGGAACAACCGGGTTCTTAAGCTGATTACGTTAGGGATTCTTTCCCGAATTTTGACCAACCAATTGAAAAATTGAAATAAAAAGTAATTGTAATAAATTTTTATTTCAATTGAAACATTGAATTAAAAAGTAATTGTAATTAATTTCTACTTCAATTGAAAAAACAGATTTCAATCAAAAGCTATAAAGACAGTATTTGATAGAGGAATATCGTATATACGCAGTTTTATGTAGAAACAAATTCTTAACAAAACAGTAGGTACGAATGTGAAAATACTTATTGTTAGTGAAATATTTGGATTATTACTGCTAAGTTTGCAAATATTAAGTTTAAAATAATTTTAAGAGGTTATGTATACGATTCACATTATTTTTCAAGACAAACAAAAGTTTTCGTTTATATTTTTGAACGACCGACGGAATAACATAATTTGTATTTAAATATAAAAGTAGAATTTTGTTTTATAATTCTACTGTAATTACTATTAAACAAATGAAGAAAGCAAACTATAGGTAAATTAAAAAGTAAGAATGTATTTCGTAATGAAGTCTTTTGAAAATTGAATGATGAAACTATCCATGAATTTTCGTCTTTTATTTCCGCTTTTGTTACGTAATTAAATTTGATCCTAACTTGTATTGTCTTCTTGCGTACTATGAAATAAATATAGCTTATGTAAGTAAATGATTACTTCTAGATGGATTCGTACATACATATGTACATCAAAGGGTTCAATAAATATTACTTTCAGAAAATTTGTGTATTAAATTGTATTTATTTTCAGTAGCAAACAGGGACAAATTAAGTTTTTCTATTTAATTATGAATGTTAAAGAGCTGTTTACCTTTTATTCATCATTTGAAGTTTTTATCCAGATAAGTATCTTGCCCATCTCTTTCTTGGACCCTTATCTTGGATTATTAGTTTTAGATATTTATCGATCCTTATTTATCGCGATGGTTGTATACACTCTTTTGAACGACTGAGCTTTATCAACTGATGCATGATGGAAGAGGTCGAACTAGTGTTTGTCGGTTTCGTTCCGAAATGTGTTGACAAGTCACCAGGTCGCCTTATCTCCATGACGTGTTATGGATTTGTTATTCTACCTATTGCTTATCTGCATACCGTTGCGCCTGGTGCATTCCCTGCGATGCGTCATTGCGGGGCTCTGTTTGTACGAAGAATTATCGAATTTTCCAACGATGGCTGCGTTTACAATGCTTCAGCATCAAATTAATCAAATATTTTTGTTTGCAATGTATATGAAAATAAATATCGATTTTGAAGAATCATTCATTTGATATATGGACCGTTTATTTTGAAAGTGGTGTAAGTCCATTTTCTTTTGTTTCGAGAAAATTAAAGGTTAACATATCTGTTAATTAAAAAATTTAGGCAAATATATGAAGTCTGGCAATGTTTCTACTGTTTTATCAATATGTAATGTAATTTGGTTATATTATAATGGGTAATTCTGTTTTGATGCACATCTCGGTATGTACTACTATTTAGATAAGTGATGACAAATTAATGATATTTCAACCTTACAATTTTATTTTTAAACATTTTCATTCATTTCATTACATTTTAAGTATTATGCTATTATGTTTTTTAACTGATTTAACAAAGTCAAAAGTATCTTTAAATTATTCAAGTTTGAACATAAAGATATAAAAAAAGCAATAAAATTATTCATGTTCATTTAAAAGCTTTTAAGCTGAAATTAAATAATAAAGAATGAAAATATTTTTAAAATTAAAAGAAACTTTTCTATTAGCCACACATTTTTTAACAATTCAGCAGCAACTTATGTATCATTTTTCTTAAAATTATAATATTAATAGACGAATAATTACCAAGAATTTTTATGATTTTAAAAATACAGAAAATTCAATCCGATATGTTAGATATTCCAATATATATAATTAAACGGAACACACATTAGACAATCGTCAGAATTTTTATTCATTCTTCAAGCATAAATAAAATTGAGTTAATTTCCTTTATTAATTCTTTTTTCTGAATACTTGCGCGAAAATATATTTTTAACAATGTCCAAGTTTCGAAGAAAGGAATAAATTACTAATTAAAAATTTTAAAAGTTGTATTCCTTATGATAACAACAACATAATACATACATAGTACAATTAAAAAAAAGTAGCTTGAAAAGTGGGTCAATAAAGATTTAAAACTAAATAATTTGTGCGTATTCTCGAGTACAAAACTGTGTTTATTTTTTTATTTCACATTGTATAATGCATTCAATTTATTAAATAATACGTGATCTTGAAAAGACAGAAACAATTTCAAACCTGCGTATTTTGATTTGTTATATTATAACTGTTCCGGATCGCATACGCAAATAGTAAATTCTTATAATTTACATTATTTTTTTATCCATGGAGTAAATAATCTTTATAGAATATAATAAAAAAAATGACACAAGTGTTGTTAGTTTTAACGAAAATTCGAAACAGAGCAACGAAACACTATTGCTTGTAAATATTGTTGAAGGAAACGTAACACGTATAAAACAATAAATGACTTCGTTTTCGCAAATATTGAGAAACGTCTGCGTTTTTTCCTTCAACGGAGATTCGTTTCTAGCGTGGCTCTTAGTTTTGTTGTCCTGAGCTTGTTTACAAGGTTATTAACAACTAAGATTATCAGGTTGTAGACAAAGTACCTGAGTAACCCGCCAACAAACTGTAGCTCTGGGTTCTTCAAGATCCCGCAGGCCCATTGTTCTGCATTGCGTACCTGGCTCGTGAATCCTTTTGTCCTGGCCAGTCTTCGTCCAACTGTTTTCAGAGCTTCCACCGTTTATTTTTTTACACGTCCTTTTTTTCTACAACTCACATAGCGACGTATCTGACATGTGCGTGACAATCTTTGGAATATACAAACTAAATGGACAATATTAGACTTACTTTTATCGCTTAATTGGCAGTCGACAGCCTATCGCCTTTTCTATCTTAACATTGAACATTCAACGATCGAAGAACTTTCCAGAATGTAACGTTCCACTACCCACTTTTTCAGAAAAACCATAGCTAGTTGACAGGTATACTGTGTATTTTTCTAGTTAATTCAATAGAGATTATTTCTTCTACAGCTTTAACACTGAAGAGAAAGGAATTCCTTATTTCAGCTCCTGGAAGAGTTAAATGATAATTATATTGCTTAACTCGTTTTCAGTTAACCCTATAGAAACTTGTTTGGTATCGGTATTGTCGTTAGGAATTGGAGGATTTTTAAGAAATTCTTCTCAGCAAAAGAATTATCCTTATCTCAATTCGTAGAAGACGCATTGCTTGTAAACAATAATTCTATTTAAATATATTTTAGGAAATCTCGTAAGGATGTTCTCTTTAATTTCAACACCAGCCCTACTGAGTCAAATTTTGCTGGGTTCGTACGTTTTCGTAGTAGCAATGTAAATGTTAAACGAAAATGTTATTTTCATTATAGATGTTCTGAGAAGGATCATTGCAGGATCATTATTATTTTGCTTCATTTCATTGTTCTTTACAGAAATATATCTTGTCCTAGCTTTAACGTTGCCAATCAATTTAACGTTGAAGTTAAAGTTTACCAAGAAATTAAAGAAGAAAGATATCCCTTGAACAATTTCTAAAACATCGCAACTGAATGTATTTATATTCTAAGTTCTGGAATGCTTTGTTTAAATTTACAATCAAGAAGTTTAATGGAAATTGAGCACATGTTACATCTACAGTAAAGTCTCCATAAATGTACAAATTTCTCTACCATAAATACACAGAGACCATCCACACCACAGGGAGGTATACCCCTTAGAATAGAAAGATAGCGTATAGAAGGACAGCGAATAAAAAAGAGAACTAAAACCAGACCAAACACGACGTAATTCGCAATATATTTACTTGCAACAACTTATTATGTATCATATATCGTAGAACACTAACTAAAAAAAGATCGTATTCTCGGTCGTATTATATTGTCTCGTCGACATAATCCTGGTGTTTTCGTTCCGTCCTCTTCTTTATTTCTTGTCCTTCTCTACGTTCGAGTCTACATTTATGGAGACTTTACTGTACATCGATTTTTGGCTTATCGTTATCGTCAAGCAATTCTTGCAATTATTTCTTCTAAAACTCATTTTCCTCTAAATTTGTAATATTATGGCATGTACCTCTTGTCTACTTACAATTAGCTCCTGAAATATGTATTATGTGAGTTCATTTTCGTTAGACCTTACAGAAACACGTACTACGCTAACTTCGATAATGTTTCTACTTATATAAGGATTTTCCAGAATTTAATGCTTCGTTATTAGAATTTTTAAAAAGACCGACGCTAATTATATTTTTTGTTAGTGAAATTGGTAGAAATCAATTTTTTGATCACCAGGAACCGAAAGATTCTCCAACATTTTTGAATTTTCATTTCTGAGATATAGAAAATCGAAAGGCTAGAAGCTGGATGACAGTTACTTTGTTTAGTTGAGTATCGATGGGTGCACAGAAACACCTTCCACTCTATCTTCGTTGTCTCCAGAAGTCGAACGATCCTCAAGAATACAAGTACACGAAGAATGAAATGATTCATAGAAGGTTGACCATTCAAGCAGACTGAAAGTATCCGTGACGAATGGACTTCTTCGCGGGATCCTGGCAGTGTTATCTTTCGGAAGGTCCTTAAACTGTCTTTAGAGCGCAGTTTGAGGTCGTCCTTTGCGAACCTCGTCCATTCACAGAGGAAACGGATATCTTCGTGGAACAGGTGCAGGTTTCTCAAGGTGAGCAACGTTTCAAAAACTATATCTAATATACATGTCGAATCGAGTAACCTCCTCCTTTTTCGAAGTCGGTTATATAAATTATCAAAAATCCAAAGATTTCTTTAGAATCTATTTCTGTTTATAAGGAAAAACATATGGATGTAAACGATTAATGAAATATATGGAATAGAAAAACAAAAAAAGATACAAAAATATATTCGAAATCGTAAATGCTATGTACCTACTTACAACTATTTACCGAAGTGTACTCGGAACCGAAACGTTTAACAAAAATTAATTTTCTATCTCCAATTTAGGTTGCCGAATAAAATACCTATACAAACTTTGTCAAATCTTTATTTTACTTTATTAAAAAATTGTACAGAGTAACTTTATTCAGTAATCTTTGTTGGATTCTTTAAAACTGTGAATAATGAACTTTTAGAAACTTATAGTATACAAAGGCGACTCAGATTCCAGCCACGTTTGTAATACTAACATTGCAGCCGAAGGGTTAAACAATATCCTACAATTTTCTGTCGTCGGTAAATCCTAAACATGCTGAAATTCTAAAGTTTAATCGACTGGGCTACTTTTCGTCGGTTATTGTCGACCTAATGATCTCTGTCCACACGAGTAATTTCGAAAAATCCACTTATGCGCGTTACAAGCAGACAGTCGAGTGTCCCTTAATCCTTTGACCAGGGTTTCTCACGTTCGTCGAGGAATCAGTCGTTCACTGTAAACGAATCCTGTCCGAGGATCTGGAGAACCACTGCCCTCGAAACGACGGATATTCCGTTGATCGTGAATGGGAATAGCGTGGCTGGAGTTTTTCCTCTTATTTTCTTTCCTTTTTCTCCAGCTATGAATAGCCGTCGCGGCGCGTAAGGCCCCTCCATTGTACCGAAATCTCAAAGAATCACTGGCTCTCCTTAAGTCCGCTCGTTCGGTTAGGGACGCAAAGCCCAGTATGTACTTGTTCTTTGTGTGCTCGAAACCGGGGACCTGCTGCAGTAATTTTTCGAATGTACCGTCTTCCCGGATCCACGTCACTCGGAGATCACGTCGGACCATCCGATTCTATCGCCGCCACGGTTCTGGTCGCCGTTTAAGCGACAGTTATGAACCACTAATCCGATCTCGATGTTCATTTAGTGAACCCATACCACATTTATTACTAACTTCAGGTTTTCTTTTAGTCAGATAGAAAATCGCCTTTCTTATTGAATACATTTTATAGAACTTTGAG